CCCCTGCGCCAGCCCTTGGCACCTTGGCGAAGTGGGTGCGAACGGCCGCCCCCCCGCAGCGGGATTCCTGGCACTTTGCACCCTCTAAGGCGAGGTGGGAAAGTTGGCACCAGGGTCCGGCCAGCTGGGAAGCCCAGCAGCCCCCCTCCTCGCTTCCTGCCCCCCCGCCATGCCAGGGCCCTGCCCAGGCAGCGGGGACAGGCGGTGCATCCCGTTCCCCTCCGGGAACGTGGGGTACCCAGAGCCCCACAGGCTCCCTCTGCACCGGAGCTGTGCGGTGCCCCTCGCCCAGGCCCTACGTGCCTCAGGGGCTGCACAGTGCCAGGTTTGTCCCTCCGCCCTGCCTTCGCCCCCTCTGTGCTCCTGGCGGGGGCAAGAGATATTGGCACTGCCCTTTCCAGGGGGAAAATGCCAGGCCGCCCAGGGGCAGGGCCTCTTGCTGTCTCCTGGCACGGCTGCAAAGGAGCATATGGGGATGAAAGGGCTGTTTAGGCACCCTGGGACCCTCCATCACCCACTGGGGTCCAGCAGGCACCTTACTGGGTACAAGCTGCCCTCTAATTTCCCCTAGTAGGTTCGTTTGCCTAATTATGAAGGCACTCATAGATTTGGCAGCAGAGAGTTGTGGGCAAGCAACCGCTGGGCACCGCAGTTCTCCCGCCCGGCATCGTGAAAGGTTTCACACCAATGTGGGAGCAGGAAGGGACAGGGACCTGGGCACACCGTGCGCATGGCAGAGCCACGCATGGGCATGGTGTGGGACCAGAGGTAAGAGCTGGGACAGCGCTGGCACAAGGGTCAAGAGGTTCTGGGTGCCGGTGCCAGTGCGGCGCGTCTGCATTATGTCACGTCCGCAGAGACGGGGCCCAGCGGTGTTTGACCCTGGTGCTCACTGCTCTGGCTGCTGCCAGCTGTGCCCGGGCTGTGCGGGGCTGCCAGCATCGGCCCCAGAGCCAGCGGGCCTGCCGGACCCTCCCCCAGCCACCCCCCGACCCGCAAGGT